AACTTTGGGTTTCTTCCTTATTTTTTTTTTTTTAAAAAAACTTCTTAGATTTATCAATCGCTAAGCCTAGCAGATGCGTTTTCCCATCTTTTTCCCACCGAGCAATCATACTTCAAAACAGGATTGCCAGGATTTGGCAAAACAAAAGTCCTCAGGACATGTAGAATTGCGTCATTAATTTCAGGTGACGTTCTTTTTTTATTTAAATCAGCCTGACAGAAAAATTATCCACGAGTCATCTATCTTATTGACTCATCCAGCATTTGTCATAGTTAACAAAAGAAGACAGGTTCGGGTACCTGTATATGCAGAGTCAATCCGGCTGCCCCTGCACCGACGATTTCTGGGTAGAGACATGTATTTATTAGCAAATTTTCAAAGGTCATATCGATCAGATACTGATTTAAGTCCGCGATTTTACTTGTTTGTTAGGATTTAATTGTTAAATTCTAGTTGAAATATAATAGCATGATTGGAATAAAAATTGTTTCGTCTAATTTATTCCGTCATTATATTTTTACATATTAATAATAGAAAAATATATTTCATGACATGATGAATTTTACTTTAACTTCGTTAGCAAAAAAAAAAAAAAAGAATTTTGCTTTACCTGCGAGAAATTTCTACCTGCAGTAAGAATGTACATGTGTCTTCACCAAAAAAAAAAAAGAATGTACATGCGCACATGTTGTTAGGAACTGTGACCATTGGCCAGAAAAATAAATCATATATAAATTGTTTAAAAAAAGTTAATCTAGCATTTTAGCAGCAGCAGCGAGTTACTTGTTTGGTGCGAGGGGATGAGCTAGAGGAAAGAGGGAAGGAGGAAATAAAACATTTAACAAGTTTAATTTTAAAAAAATTAAAGAAATAGGATTTTAAAATTTTGGTAAAAACTATGTAAAATAAAAGAAGAAGAAAATTTAATTAAAAATTTTTAATTTCACTTTTTTAATTGTTTAAGTCAAGCTCAAAAAATTTTTCCTCTCATCTATTTCTCTCACACCAAATAGACGCTTACTCTATATTTGATATGAGAGAAATAGAAGAAAAGAAAAGGGAAAAAAATTTAATAAGCTCAGTTTAAAAAATTAAAGCAATAAGATTAAAAAAATTTTAATTAGTTTTCATTACTCTTTTATCTTACAATTTTTTTATATTAAAATTTCAAAATCTCATTTTTTTAATTTTTTTTAATTAAGCTTATTAAAAAAATTTCTCCGCTTCCCTCATCTGAGTCATGCCAAACGATCCATTACGGGATTTAAAATATAACAAAAATGAGAGCAAACCTTATTTTCATAATACTTAACTCAATTAATATTTAATGAGAACACAAAAGAGAAAGAAGGGGAGAACAACTCTTATGCTTTACCTGATGGGAATAAAAGTTGAGAGGAAGAAAAATATAGTTATGCTTAGATAGACTAGAGAAAATAAAAAAATTTATGTAAAATATTTATGAAAATATATTATATATAAAATTAAATAAAATTAAAATTGTAATAAGAAGAAAATTATACTAATATTAGTGTCATCAAATAATTTAAAATTAAGTTATTTGGTTTATATGTATTTTTTAGATCATTATATCTTAAAATCAAATTATTTAGTAAAAATGTTGTCTTAAGATTAAAAAAAATTAAAAAGTGAATACTTTTTAGAGAATAGTAAAAGAAAATAAATAGAGAGAAAATAACTTAAGAAAACATGTTCAGTGTTCAATGTTCACCCCTCGTTTAATTAGGGATGAGTATTCGGTTATTCAGTTCGATTAATGTAAATAACCGAAAAACCGAATATAGCATAAATACAACACCGAACCGAAACCGAACATGATAAGATAACCGAACCGAAATAACTGAAAAAATTTCGGTCTGGTTAGTAGAGTAATTCAGTTATTGGGCTTTTTTAATACTATTATGGCCCAACTAAGCTGGACCCTTTTTTTTTTGGGGTAAATCCGTTTAAATTGGTCTCTCCTTGTATGTTTTTTGCCTGCTGATGACACCAAACCCTTTTTGCATGTTGATGACACCAAATGACCCATTAAAATATAAATTTGAATCACCACTTGCATCTCACAAATTTTCCAGGTCCTCCATTTTCAATTTTTATATGTTAGTTACATATCAAATTTAAAATATACATATATAACAGTAGAATAAATAATAATTAACCTCTTTCAAGCATCAGTCTATAAGAACATACAAACCAACAAAAAAAAATCCAAATATAATTAAAATTCAAACAAACCAACCACGTACCAATAACATAACATGTGAAATTTAAAATTACAACAAATTCCAGCCCCTTGTATCCAAATTCCTTGCATGCAACTTGCCACCAACACCTAATTAAGTAAAAAAAAAAACAATTACAACAGATTATATAAGAAACCAAATGAAGAAACCAGTTACATGAGAGGTATTCTGGATTTAGACACATATCATATATATTGTTCTGGATTTAGACATATATCATATATCTATAATTTACATTTATGCGTATATATAGTTACATACTACCAAAATGACGTGCTCTTGTATACTGCCATGTTAATTTCCTTGAAACATCAGTTTTTGACTTGCTAACATATCATTCGGAGAATTTAAGGGGACATATCATTCGGAGAATTTAAGGGGACTAATGCACGGTAGAGACTAGGAAGGCCGCATATTGATCTTTAACATATGCTTTACTTGAAATTTCAAATTGCAAACAATAGTTTCTTCAAATTATTGATAATTCTTGTACAACTCCAACCCAACAATCCTTTGCTATACATTTTCATTAGCATAACATATCTTTGGTATTCTGGATTTAGACACATATTGTTCTGAAATAAAAGTATAGAAATATTTCTACTTAAAAAAAAATACTTGGATTTTGTTTTGTGAATTGTGATCTAAAGCTCACTTGAGCATAGTGGAGAGTGAATATTACGAAGTTGAAATGCGCTATCTTTACATCTATCTGGAGAAATAGATCATTATCTTTTAAGAAAGCCTGAAATGGAGGAAACTTCAGTCACATTTTCAAATATTCCACATAATAAAGGAAATCAAATGTTTGTTTATATATGATGGAGGAACAGATCATTAATCATGGACTCACGACTCATCACTCATGGTCACTGATGCAGATGAGGTTGTGTCACTGTCAGAGACTAGAGAGGACACCAGAGAACAGCAGGCTTCGTAGGGGTGGCTATTGGCAAAGACAAAGCAGGGGTGATGTCCAAATGGCAAATAAACTAAACTGACTGAAGGCGGCAGTGACAATTGAGGTAGGAGAAGAAGACGGGAAGTTGAGTGAGAACTGAGGAAGAAGGAGGGGACTCACAGGAGGCTGCGGCGTGCGACTGGGATTAAGGCAATGGGCGAGTTCGAGTGAGAGTGTGATCTATTACGTTCGATTGGGTGGGGTGTGAGTGTGCTGAAGGAGTAAACCTTGAGTCGCGTTTTGCGCGAGAGGTGAGGGTCTGAGAGAGGGACCGAAATATTTAAGGAAGAGGAGAAAATAAAAATAATAGAAAAAAGAGAAAAATAAAAGTAAATAAAAACAAATTTTAAATTCGATTATTCGGTTATAACCGAAATATTTTTATACACATTAAACCGGACACCGAAATCGAAATAACCGAAAAAAAAAAAAAACCGAATTAATTTCGGTTCGGTTCGGTTTTGCTCACCCCTGCGCTTAACCATATGCTGCCCCCAGTCCTCTTGCTCTTATTCTCATGAATAATCTCCGAATAGTAATTGATGATGGGAGAGGAATGCAGTGTGAGATGGATACAGGTGTCAGAATAGAGTGCGGTGAGAAAGATGCATGATTGACCTATCATTATTGGGAGCAAGTGGTTGGTCCAATCACATCGCTCACTCATGTAATTTTAGGAATCAAGGCTTCTCACTACGTGAGCCGTGAGCATACAAAATCCTGTCCCCTCCTCCTGTTGCATGTTTTACTGCCAAACCTCGTCCAGCATTTGGTCCCAGTTAAAAATATTTTACAAAAGGGGGAAAAAAAAACCAATCCAAACCAAACAAATCGAGACGAGAGGCCCTGTCTAGATTATATTGATGCTTCGCGGCAGACGCTACAAGACTGGAATAATAGTGTTCAAGTGAAAACAGACAAACCGCCACAGAATCACAAAGACAATTAGTTAGTTAATAACATCAACAATAAGATTAAAAGAAACGCATTGATCCTGCCACGCCCAACAGTGCCCACGCGATTACTGCTAAAGGTCTGCCTAACTAATGAGCAGAATCCTTCTTTATCCCTGGAACGAGGCTAATGAATCTGGTGCGTTCATATAATTTAGTTGCGTGCAGCGAGCAGTGGGCGGAGGAAATGGAGAACAGAGAACGTGTCTCAAGTCTCAGCTCAACAAAAAGCGCCTGAGAGAAAAAGGGCACCCGACAACGTCTTCTGCAGATATCTGAAAGGCCAGATTCTAGTATTCCAGTTTGCCAACATTTACTCAGCATCATCCGCTTCCCACTTCTGACCTTTCCCGCCAGTCCCGTATAAATATATTAATCAATACTCATTTACATTTTTTTTTCTAAAATATAGGTATCTTTTGATGGGAGGTAATCCTTCGAGGCAGAGAAGGGCATGCCAACATGTCTCACTTCCGACTTGACTTTGAGATTAATTGCTCCCACCAAGTAAATCCTTTTTCATCTCATTTTTACCCGAGTTAGCTTTTTTTTTTTAAAAAAAAAAAAGTCCACGCCTCCTTCGTTAAACATCCTTAACAAAAATCAATTCCTTAATTATTATATGATTACTAAAGTCACCCAGCACCCCCACCTCTGTCTATCATATTATTAATCGCCTCTCTCTCTTCCCCCATCTTCCTCCTCCCCTCCCTTATATATACACGCAGGCACACAATGCCACCTTCTCCAACCGCAGCTATCCCTCTGTCCATGTTCTTTATATCCATCTCTATCCTTTCGCATCCTTGCTCCTCCTCAGCTATGGTCGTTCCCTCTTCAAATTCCATGAGAAGCAAGAAAACAAATGCCGTGGGAATCCCGACTGTGGATCTTTCCATGGAAAGGTCAGAGTTATCGGAATTGGTGATAAAGGCATGCGAGCAATATGGCTTCTTCAAGGCGGTGAACCACGGCGTGCCGGAGGAGGTCATTTCCAGATTGGAAAACGAAGGAATTGAATTCTTTTCCAAATCCACCTCAGAGAAGCGACAGGCTGGTCCGGCCACACCGTTTGGTTATGGTTGCAGAAACATAGGCCCCAGTGGAGACATGGGTGACCTCGAGTATCTCCTTCTGCATACAAATCCTCTCTCCATCTCCGACAGATCCAAAACCATCTCCAACAACCCTACCGACTTCAGGTTACCACTTACTGCAACTACTTTAATTATTCTTTCATCTTTCTCCCATATTTATATATACTTCTTCATTAGTTACATATTACAGTCTTCAAACATATTAAAAAGTCGCGTCTTATAGAATTAGAATAACAGGCACAGACACAGGGTTGGCCAAAAATTAATCTATATTATATGGATTTGACTTGGATAGCAAACCCAAGAGGAAGAGGGGGAACAAGAGCTTGGTGTGTGTTTCTTATATGCCAAGCAGGATGGCGGGTCTGTGCTGACTCTCTGCTGAGTAGGACTAAAATTTTTCTCTCTCTAAACTACGCTGACGTTTGGACGATCATGAATTATTGTGAATCTTAATTCGTTCATTGTTTGTTACTGACAGCTGGCCGATGAACGTACAGTATAGTTTAAGCTGATTTTGCCCGCCAACTGATGTTTGTTATGTGTCCCAGACCAGACATGTTTTATTTTGCTGGTCTCTCAAGCGCGCAGAAAGAAAAAGTCAGGATATTAAGCTTCACGCTTATTTAGTAAATACATGATTAGATGATTGTGTGGACTTTCTATTTTGAGTAGATGTGTGGTGTATGTATTCTTGTTTTCATGTGGCTGCTTCGTCTGTCTGAAAGCGACTCGCACGCACTGTGTTATATGCGCGTCGGGACCGATTAGTCGGCCATCCCACTCTGGTTCCCGACTTTCCACGGGGTCCTCCGTTCTTGACGCGTCTAGGTTTTTAACTTAACATCGTCATGATTTTCTCACCCCTCTTTGTAATTATTTGATTGTCTCCCTCTGTCTACCGCTTGATTCCTTGCAGCGTATGTGAGTAAGCTAAGCTTGCTTACGGCTGAATTTTCTATTAATTCAGAACTGAACAGGTTTGCAGCAACACGTGCACTACTCCCACATGCACGTGTTTCATTTCATATTTGTTCGCAAAAATAAAATATATATGATTCTGTTTTTTGTTTACTCTAATCAACATATATATATATATATGTACACATGTGTTTTTACATATATATACTGACACGGCTTTTGTTCTGCGCTGCTATTGAGTAGTGTATATATTTTTGAGACACTATACGTCATAGCAAATCAAATAAAACTAATTTTACAGGAAGAAATGAAATGACTCTGCCGGGTGAGCTTCTAATCAAACTATAGCCAGCCAAACTGTAGACTCTGCACTAGCAGTGCACAACTTATTGGTAGCCAGGGGGAGTGGCATCCACCGCGCTCGTCGAGTATTCTGCTAATTTTTTCTGGAAGAAAAGTATGACCAGAACAGTGGGCCCTTCCCTTGTAAATCATCATGTGGAATTGCTTAATCTCTGGCTGTTCAGCTAACCACCGATGATTACTTCGTGGAATGGATACGTGAAAACTCCACGAGCATCTAAATGACTAAATCTTTTGAATGAGTTATGAGCCAGCCACCACCAGTCCAGAATTCATTAAATGGGACACTAGGACAAGTGGCAAACACGGGGGTTCACTTGGAATATACATATATGTATAAATATTTCTGCTTTGGGCAAAACGCCAAGTGAGCACATAATCATGCTGCTCAAGGAACATACTAGATTCATAACCAAAAGTCAGAAAGACATCAATAACTGGAGGATTATTATATTAAATCGAGAGCTGATCAGGGACGCTCAGAGCCACTCGGTGCTGAGGATCAATCACTACCCTCCATCCAAGAGCAGCGCCAAGCGGGACCCATCCATGGGGTTCGGGGAGCATTCAGACCCTCAGATACTGACGATCCTGCGGTCTACGGAGGTCGGGGGACTCCAGATCTGCACGCGGGACGGGCTCATCCATCTTATTGACTCATCCGCATTTGTCACCGTGAACACAAAAACAGGTTCGGGTACCTGTATATGCAGAGTCAATCCGGCTGCCCCTGCTCCAACGATTTCTGCGTAGAGACATGTATTTATTAGCAAATTTTCAAAGGTCATATCGATCAGACAGTGATCTAAGTCCATGAATTTATTTTCAAATATCGAATAAAACATCTCAAGAGGTCTCAGACTATAGGAGACATCATTATCTAAAAAAGATCATCAGCCAATGTCGGCAATTTTAATTCATCACTGACCTCGCCCATCAAACACCTAATCAAGGATAATATTTCAATAGGAAAAATATAAACAGAACAACATGAAATTTACGGTTTAAATAAGTGTGAAGCGAGTGGAGGGATCGATGATATAGAGGGGGAAAGAGACCACTCAGTGGTGGCTATGGAGTATAAGGTTCGATTCTGCCAGCAGTCTTCCTCAATTTGAAATATCAGAAGAGGGAGCTTATGTATCCGTTTCGTGGATTCTCTTTCCCCAAAATATGAAAGAAAAAGTCGATTAATTTAAAATCACACAGAAAAATAACATCGGGAAAGAATATAAAAGAAGAATAACGAGGAAGGAAGAGATCACTCAGGTCAGCGGGGTGGTCGACACGCAAAGTATCATCTCAATATAGAGAGAACCCTGCATTCCGGTCTGTTGAGCTTGAATTTTATGGGGTCATCACGGTGATCTCTTCATAAAGGTTACAAAAACATACTGAAAGATGAGAGAATTGCGTAGTAAAAGGGAAAAGGGAGGTTTGAAACGAAATCGGAAACCCAGAACCGCCAAAGCTTTTTCTTAGCAGGAATGACCATGACGGCTGCCTCAAGAAACTGCTGCCAGCTCCCGGCATCTCTATTTATAGGACGCATATACTTTGGGGCTTTTTTTTTTTTCTTTTTTTATGGCCAGCATACACTTTAGGTTTTCAGAGATTAGCGACCTATCCGGAATAAATTGCCGTCAGTATTTTTTCCCTCTTTTTTTTTATTTTTTTACTACTTCCAATCTTAATTATAAGAACTAGTTAACTAATTTAAAAAAAATTAAAAAAATAAATTAAGTTAAGTTATTTATAATAAATAGGTGTTGTCTTTTCTAAAATATTCTTACTAATCAAATTTACTAGCTAGAATTACTATTATTAAAGAGACTACCTTGGAAAGAAATGCATAAATATGATAGACAAAGTGGATTGTGGTCTTATAATTAAGACTAAAATAAAAATCAAACGATATCTTATATTAAAGATCGAAACTAGTATTTTTTATACAGTACCTTTTACGATTTTTTAATTTGACTAACCTATGAGCAGATAAATAATGAACGCCTGGCCAAAAAAAAAAAGATAAATAAATCATGAATGTTTTATTTTTTTTAACTATGTTAGAAAAATAGGGATAAAAATTATTTGTTTGTTAGGATTTAATTGTTAAATTCTAGTTGAAATATAATAACATGATTGGAATAAAAATTGTTTCGTCTAATTTATTCCGTCATTATATTTTTATATATTGATAATAGAAAAATATATTTCATGACATAATGAATTTTGAGAGAATGACTAAAAAAAAAGTTGAAAATTACAAATCCCAAATCAGATTTAGTAACACGATTTTTTTTGTACTGATAAGTCTAAATTTACAAATGACAATAAATTTTTATTGTTGATATTTACAAAATTCTAACTTTTTTTTTTGTCATTGTCCCATAAATTTTACTCTAACTTCGTTGCCCAAAAAACAAAAAAGAATTTTACTTTGCCTGGGAGAAATTTCTACCCGTAGTAAGAATGTACATGTGCACATGTCGCTAGGAACCGTCACAATTGGCCAGAAAAATAAATCACATATAAATCATTCTGAAAAAGTTAATCAAAATCAATCATTTCTTTAAAAATATAAATAGAGCATTTTAGCAGCAGCGAGTTACTTGTTTGGTACGAAGGAGTTAGAAGAAAGAAGGAAGAAAGAAATTAAACATTTAATAAGTTTAATTTTAAAAATTAAAAAAATATTTTGAAATTTTGGTAAAAAGAATATGTAAGATAAAAGAGAACAAAAATTAATTAAAAACTTTTAATCTCATTTTTTCAATTTTTTAGATCAAACTCATTAAAATTTTTTACTTCATGTTATGAGGGAAATAGGGGAAAGAAGGAAGAAGAAAAATTTTAACAAGCTAAATTTAAAAATTAAAGAAAAGAAATTAAAATTTTTAATTAATTTTATTACTCTTTTATCTTATAACTTTTTTATATTAAAATTTTAAAATCTTACTTTTTAATTTTTTAAATTAATTTTATTAAAAAAATTTCTCCTTTCTCTTTATTTTTATTATACCAAACAAACCATTGTGAAATTTAAAATATAGCGAGAATGAGAGCAAATCTTACTTTCATAATACTTAACTCAGTTAATACTGCCTCTGGTCCTTTTATGCTTTACTCGAAGGGAAGAAAAATAGAGAAAAAGAAAATTAAAAATATTATCATTCCTATTATTGAAATAGATGAAAAAAATTAAAAAGAAAAGAAAAGAAAATGAGTAAATATCTAAACGAGTAAAATATTTATGAAAATATATTATGTATGGAATTAAATAATCAAATTAAAATTAAAATTAAGGAAAATTATACTAATATTTTTATCATCAAATAATTTAAAATCAAGTAATTTGGTTTATATGTATTTTCAGATTATTATATTTTAAAATCAAATTATTTAGTAAAAATATTGTTTTAAGATAAAAATAAAAAATAATACTTTTTAGAGAATAGTAGAAGAAAATAAATATGGAGGAAAAAAAGCATGTGAGGATGGGCAACTGAGGAAAACTTATTTTCCTTCCCAAATTTTTTCATTTGAGAGAAAATTTGAAGAGCAAATAAGACATGAAACCCACCTTACTTTTTCTTATATTTTTCTTCTCTCTCATATTTTCAGATTTTCTCTCCTATCAAAGCAGAAAAACTCATTTTTCTTCCTATTTTTTTTAATCCAAACAAGGGTTAGTTTAAACATTAATTTCAACTTTTTAAAGCACAATTAAAATAATGTTAAATTATATTATCAATCTTTTATATTATTACATGTTTGAGTATTTTTACGTATCCTATTAAAATGAAATGCTATATCACTAAATTTATTTAAAAAATCCTAGAAAAATATTGGTCAGTATGAAAAAGTTTGGACTTGAACAGGGAAAACGTAATTCATAGGAAATAAAAAATTCCGTTAAACGATAGAAATCAGCTTCGTGGAAGCCACATTTTTTTTTTCTTTTTTTATCAAATTGCCCCCTTGCATTCCAAACTAATTTTCACTTTTCGGCCTCTGCAGTTCTTTGCTTCATCGTCGCTTCCTGTTAGCAACTTCACTGTCCGCTGTTCACAGCTTCGTCTCCGACCACCGCTCACAGCCTTGTCATCTCTCATTTACATATTTACTGTTGTAACATTAATTCCATGTTTAACATGCACAAGTTAAATTGTGGGCTTCATTCCCACAAATGCCCTTCCACCAAAGCAGTCTGATCAACTCACGAGCACTAAATAAAATCAAATCCCAAACACAAGGCTGTGATTTATTGTTTGAAACCAAACCATAATTTTAAAAGTATTTTTACGATTTACAAAGTAAATATGTGGAGGAGGTTGTTAAACACTTTTTTAGTTTCATTGCCATCCCGCAAGCTTCATCTTTAACGCCGTTTTCCTTCACTACTTCGCGTCAACACAGCAATTTCGCGGAGATCACACTTTTCACGGAGGCCGTGGAAGAGGCCCCACTGCCCCACAGAAAAGAATGAAAGAGCAGAGAAGCTGCGGTTTACAGGTGATAAAAGTCAATGAAGTCATTCAGCTGTGCTTCCCCTCAGTGGCTTAACATGCACGAGTTAAATTGTGGGCTTCATTCCCACAAATGCCCTTCCACCAAAGCAGTCTGATCAACTCACGAGCACTAAATAAAATCAAATCCCAAACACAAGGCTGTGATTTATTGCTTGAAAGGAAGAAGGCACTTTCATTGGCATCATCATTGAAACTCCTCACTGTGTTTCCTCCCTTACTACCTATCTACCTATATACATGTGCGTGTGTGACGCCAAATTACAAGACTGCAGCCCCTTAGAACTCATCACAAAGTTGTTGCCGCAAAAACCATATATTCTCATCGCTCCATAGATTCTCCAGCGAGTCTTCCTGCTCTACTGTCTGGGACACCGACCCGTTTACCGTTGGATGATCCGTTGTTTCACTGCTGCCTGAATTCGAAGCAACTTGGAGCTTAGCATAATTGGGTCTTGTCCACTCTGCTCTCGAGCTATGCTGATAGTCGGACGAGGCCCGAATCCGCTCCAGCATGCGGGGAATCCAAACGTAATGCATGGCGTCTCTGAACTGTTTGCTGTTGACGTCACACTTGAGCTGCTTGGCCTGCTTCATCACTCTGGTTCTCCAATAATTTTTTATCTCGTTGTCTGTTCTCCCTGGCAATTGCTCCGCGATTTTAGACCACCTAGTACATCATGTGACAACCAACAAAAGGGGGGGAGATGATTAAGTATAAGGGATTCCTCCAAATGGGTCAATATCCTCATTCATTCCATGTGACTGACTAAAGTGTCGTAAGTCATAACGAAAAATGACGATTCATACCTATTTCCCCAGCGAGAATGGAGGTCGAGAATCAATATCTGTTCCTGGAGTGTGATATTTCCGCGCCGAACATCGGGACGCAAGTAGTTTAGCCATCTCAGTCTGCAACTTTTGCCCGTTCTATTCAGACCTGTGGTTATTCAACTATTTGCCGTTATAGAATATAAACTATACACGTGACGATGGATGGTGGAAGGCTCGAAGCGCTCAAAGCTTGAACCATGGAAGAGATATTTTGCCAGTAAGACAGAGTGCTCAGTGGTTACCTGCACAGCGAGCGACAAAATTCCACCGACCTTCGCCATGAGTAGTCACGTAATTGGCGAGAATGGTGTCCTCTTCAACAGTCCATGGACCTTTCCTCACGCAAATATCGTCCTCACTTTTATTTGCTGCGGACTCCCATATCATCTTGGAATCCATCCCTCTGTTGTCCAGGAAGCAAGAGAGTACTTGGTGAATGAGGCAAAGGTGGGGAGAAACAAGTGTTCTGGGTTTTGTTTGTTGAACCCGTTATAGGGGGATTGGGAGTTATATATAGAGTCAGAGAAGACTCACTCACTGGTAAGTCTATACAATAAATGAGTGGATTGGCCAATAGTTTTGTGCGTCCAAAAGAAGAGAGCGGAAGTGCGCAATGCTCGATTCATTTAATCTGTAGAAAAGAGGACCTGTTTCAATAAACTATTGAGTTTAATGCGTTTACGAGAATTATGCTGTTATATAGAGTTTGACCCATTGACTTCTGCTTTATCCCCCCAAAGGCACGCGCGACGGAAGATATCATATGCATAAGTTGGGCTATATGTATCTGGCAAACATATCATTCGATCACTTCATTCAATTGCTGAGTTGTTGCACTGCGACGGTGTTATTAATTTTCCATACGTGCCATATCAATAAAGATTTGGAAGCCTTTTGACCGCTATGATCCTTGCTTTTTACCTGTGAGGAATGAGGATGATTAAAGGCCACGAGTTGCACACGCAAGGCCAACCACTGTGCCATACATCTTGTGCTTTAAATATCAAACTGACAATTATCTATTGGGCGAGAAGCATAGAAATGGGATTATAGGAGTCTCTGATTGTCTTGCACGCCCAAGAAAGGCTTTGACCCTTGACAGTTTCCATCACTCAGTCTAATGGTTGCTTCATGATTCAATGTTTGGGCCTCGTCACTCATCTAATGAGAGTAGGGAAGAATTGGACTCTGTCTCCGTGTGACTGAACAACGAGGGAGTGATGAACACGACGTGGACATGAAGAATTGGACTCTGTCTCCATGGGAAACTTCGTTTAGATCTTGAACGTGGAGTGAAATAAACCAATCATACGATATGAATTTGGTTTGAACTGAATAAAATGAGTCTTCCCTGCAAAAACTTTCAACCCCCTCAATCATGAATCGCGTAGAATTCAATTTCAATCGATCATATTACTTGTATGAAACAGAAATGACGGTAACATGACCAGGATAGTCCGGTCCACGGCTTGCTGTTAAATCCCTTTACATTATGTAGAGTGAGTGAACCAATGTTCATTGGCCACGTGAAGAGAGAGACTTTGGGCAGAATGATGCTGATGCGGAATGAAGACGGGATATTTGACGCATTGCCCCCGTCAGGGAAGGGGAGTAGAACAGAGAAGGAAGAAATGCCAACATTCACACTCACAGGGCTAGGTTTCGAGAATGCAGTTATTCCTTCCACGAAATTGCATTCCAGTTTCCATTCCCATCTTCTCTTCCACTTTTCCGTATTGACTCTGGCTGCGTACAGTCCGCTAGTTTACCGTACAATATTCCATCTATGTGGAACTTTTAGGATCAGATATTCGTTTCTTAATTGAGAGGACATCCCTCGGTCAGAGCATCCATATTCCCCCCTTAATACGCATGCCTCTGAGCATCTTAGTTTTTGGTCCGAGTTATTAATTGCTGTAAAACGCATGCCTCCCAGACTTGCATTTTGCAGTGTTGTCCTACATCAATTCAACTGGATGTTAACGAATTAATAAATTATGGACCACTACTGCTTCGATGATAATTTAGTTTATGTTGATATATAACACATATACCTTATATTTACAAATGAAATCAGAAAAGTAACTGAATATAAATTTCATAAACAATCTAATTTACTGTTACAAACACCGATCTATAACAGCAAATCTACTCGTGTCTCGGGGCCTTTTGTTAAGTAACGTAATAGTTTTCATTCGTGAACAGGACTATATAGGCATTTTTCTCTTTTCTCTTCTTAAACGGGAGTACAAATAACAAGGTCACAGGGTTACGATGCTCTGCATAAATTAGCATTCGGGAGAATAATCATTTTTTTCCTTTGAAAAAAAAATCATTCAGGGGAACCAGTCTCGGATACAGAGACTCGAAGCTTATGACATATGAGACAGGGGGCAGTGTTTTCCAAGTGAGAGATTGAGACCATAGGCTGCAGAGGAGTGTACGCACGAGTATTAGTAACATTATATTCTCGATAGATATATTACGAGAAATTTCAACTCTTCAGTCATGTACAACCATATTCTCAATTGACTTGCTGATTATTCTCAGATTCCAAAATGATTACGCGTCTTTACCCTGCCTACCTTGGCTTTAGATGAATGGAAAGTCTCGAATTGGTCGGATATCAATGCAGAATATGAAAAGCCACAATTAATCTAATCGACTCCATTTTTTAACTAGGAGAAATGCGTCCCCAGAGAGAGAGAGAGATGAAATTTGAATTTGGAATCCTGGTCAGTTCAGAATACTAATCAATAAGCTATGCTCTTATGTTGTACAGACAATCATATTCTTATAGGCGATCATCCTATGAATTAGGCGGGTCAGTTCTGTGAAGCAACAGCAGAATAAAATGGTCGCTTTGGTTACCCATGGAGAATACAGCTTTTTTTTTCATTTCATGGAATGTCAAGCCATTCGTTGGCAAAAAAGAAAAAAAAAGAATGTCAAGCCCTGTGGTGGACGTCAATCAATTTATTCTGCAATGCCCAAGAGAAGAAAGAAGGAAAGAAAGACAGTGAAGATTGATTGTGGAGAGGGTAATTATTAACTACTAGTAATTATGAAATCGTGTTGTTGCAGATGCTCTGCTTTTACGCTGTATTCCATAGGATGGCTAATGTTCCCCGACCAACAAGAATCCCTTCTTTCCATGCTGCGTTGACTTGTGACATCCTTTTGTTGTCTGCAAAAGGAAAATTATTAATAAATTTCAGTTTTCATCAGATGGTGATGGTGCTTGTCTTTACTGTTTATCTCTCATTTACCAAACCATTAAAACCAATGCAACGCATCAACTTGTCCACATTCTGAATCATGATCAGCACATATATAATCATGGTATCTGCATTCATAACATGGCTGGAACACAAAACCAAAGCAGAGGGCGAGGCGTACGTAACAACGATGATGTCGCTGGGTGCTTGCACTGCACTCTGAAAAAGGAATATTCTTCCATGCCTATCATCTCCTCATCTTTATCCAAAGTTCAGCCATCTCAGGCCCCACGCAATTCTCTTCTCCATTAAGTGGTATTGTTTAACACGTATAAAAATCCCACTACCTTTAACTTTTAAGCGACTCCCTTTCCAGAAGATCAACCATCTGTATTGAATGGACGTGTATACCCCCATTTCATTTTCAGCCGAGGCAGCACGTCGCCCTTTTCCCTGCGTCCCGCTTCCAAAGCGCCGATGGGCCCATTGGACTACAACGAAGCCCATAATATCGGGCTTAAGCCCATTTCTGTTCTTTGTTGCGAACCCATCATGATGGGCGAGCCTGTGGGCTTCAGACACTCTATTCGGTGCACGTCTATGGATACGTTAATTGGGACGGCAACTGCCATGAAAAGGTTCTCCGTGCAAGTTAAGAACGACATTGCATTTGGACTATATGCAACTCTTTTATTTTCCGACGTGCAGAAACTGGGAAAGGAAAAGGATCGGATCGAGGGTTGAAACGAGAAGGCGATGGGTGATAATTCACCAAATAATATTAATAAAAGGTGAGAGAAGGGGCCCGGAGGGAGCGAGGTTGTAATGTAATGTAAAGTTGGGATGGGGGGTGTTGCGTAGTGTGGCAGGGATGGAAGTGGGCGCACCGGGCCAAATTTTGTTGACACACTCCCATTTATCTTTTATGCTATTCTATGCCATCTCATCCTTTCACACGCACATGATACTAGGTTTCAATTATAAAATTTTATTTGCAGAATTTTATAATTAAAACCGGAGGTACTATTTCATATCTTTAATATAAAAGTTAGTTTGATACTTAATTTGATCATAAATATACAATCCCAATTTATTTTGTTTCTCATATTTACCTAATTTTTTTAATATAACAGTTACACATTTTAAAAATTTATCAAATAGTAGTTTTAGGTAATATTTTGTGAAAAACAATACTTATTAATTACAAATAACTAAATTTTGTTAATTTATTTAAATTAGATAACTAATTTTTATATCAAGGAGGGGACCACGATGTATATTTAGTATTTCACACACGCACCTCTCAAAACCAACTCATCCATTTGAGTTGTCACCTTCGCTATTTTATATTATTTCCTTGGGGGGGGGGGGGGGATCACATCTCTGTCACGTTTCCCACGCCAAATTCCCCATTTACTGGCTTCGTCTCATCATGTCTTTTAGTTGCACCGGATTCTGTCCTTTGCTCTTCGCTGGCAGACTGGCAAGTGGCAACTAAGATTCTTAGGATTTCTCATTTAACTGTGATTATAGTTAATTAATCAATGAGCTGCATGGGTAGAGCGACTGTCCAGCGAAACGGGAAGTTTACTCCTTCCGCGACATTATTGATGCTAATAACCATGATCACAGGTCATAAATTCTACACAGTCGGGTCAATAGTTGGATCAGTCGACAGCTCGCGACCAGACTCCAAGCCTGTAGAAGCATCCACGTCTTTTCGTAATTAACCTCTCATGCCAAAAATAATACAAGCATGTGAGAATGACCAGAGGTGGGAGCAAGCAGGGAGTTGGGCTGCAATTTTCAAACAGGTTGAAGTAAATTAAACCAGTAGGTGCTGATATCAAAATCGCCAATTAGTGGCTGCCCATGAATTGCAACCAATGAAGTCGCACAGAAAATGAGTGGCCATACTTTACAGCAGAGACTCAGAGAGATGAAAAGGAGCGTGCGAGAAAGTTCAAAACCACAGGCCCCACCATGTCACGACAAAAAGCCTGGTTCATGCTCCTTAAAATTGCAACTCAAATAGAAAGAACTTTCATAAAGATGCTAAATATTGTACGATTGACCTATCCTGCCGGACATAAAGTGGGGGTTCTTCTGAGCTGGAAAGCGTATCTTAACAGATAAAAGCAATGCAAAATTAATTAATATAGTTTACATTCGATTACTTAT